CTCAGAGGGGGAAGGGACTGACGTTGCCAAAAGAAAAGGGAAGAGAGCGAGTGATATTAAAAGACCTTATCGCTTATCCACTTATGGATGCGTCGCACCAAATCCTTTTCTCCCTCCCAATTGATTTATACACTATTTTTTGGTAAAATTACAGCCTGCAAGTATAAGTTTTAGAAGTATGAAAAGAAAAATAGAAGAAAATTTAATTCATATGACTCAAAGTTTTCCAAGAATTTAAATGATTAAACTGGCTTAGATCTAATATTGTTAAGATATTAATAAGTTTTTACATATAAATTTATACTTTGTACCGAAAGTTATAGGTGTACGAAAGTTATAGGTTCACCCGTAACCGAAAGGCTACATCCGCTCTTGCCATCAATCATCATCATCAATTCTTTGCCGTGTGAATCACTCGTTTAAGGTTGCCCAATTTCTACTTTCAATATTTCCTTCTGAATGGCTAAATGAATCGAATTCCTAAGCAAACAACATTTGATGTACAAGTGAGGCCGTGTGAAGTTCCATTTCTGTTAAGCTGCAGAACTTCTAGTATTACTTCAGCGCAAGAGAACGGTATAATTCCATCACTAAATAGATAACAAATGTCTCCTTAAACCACTTCATAAATAGACTTTGAAATACAAACGAAATTAATACTACTTAATTCAAGCAAACAAACTGAAACTACAGCCCTCAGCTTCCTCGATTTCAGCCAGTATATACTAGACAGCAGAGCAGAAAATTTCCACCTAACCATTTCATTGCAGCAAACCAAGCAGCTGCTATTGTTCACTCGTTTTCTTTTTCCTCTTTGTGTGACAGGGGGAGCCATGGTTCAACATCTAATGGCACAGTCGAATTAAAATGCAAGTAAAAACTAGAAACACCAGGAAAGCTCCGTGATTATCTGGGCTGGAACAAAGGTGATACTCTCCGTCGAACAACATCCTGCATCTGCTCCACTGTCAGCACAGAAGCTTCAGTGTCAAAGTTGGCCTTCTCCAACTGCTGGTGAATCTGTCAAACATGCCAGTCAATTTAGAAAAGCATTGGTACAACATGCAAAATAAGTTGCTAATTGATTGGGAAATCTAATGTAAGTTTCATCACTTTTATGGAGTTGTAAACTCTGACAACAAAAGCTCGTGGTCGACAAACCCCATTACTTCGGGTACTCTTCAACTTCTAAAAATGTTATCTAGACTTATTCAAGCAGAGATTTCATGCTTTTTAATGTTCTATTTATGAAACCAGCATCTTCATTCATGGGGAGATCGTCTTAATATGTAGTCTTTCATCATTACCTTCTCAAGTATTGCAGACTGATCATCCATGTGAAAGTTGCGCATGTACTTCAGCATCTCCAGTTGCTGTCAAAATGTTTATTTCCACTATTATTACCACATCTATAGCATAATTAAGCATCAAGAGAAGAGAACTCTTACCTGCTCTTGTAAATTTTGTTGCATCTTTAATCTTTCAGCAAACCCGTCAGGACCAAGCTCGGCCTCTTCACAAGCCATTTCTTCTCTTCATGGCCAGTAAAATAGAAGGAACAAAATCCAAGTTATTTTCTTCAGAGAACTCAACATTCATTACATCTGTATTGGATTTGTTAGCAAGAATGGCCTCAATATCCTATTGAACACTGTGCCAAGAAATTTTCTTCAAAAGGTATAAAGGGGAAATAACACAAAATGGAAGTTCATCTTAACAATACGCAGATGGAATAGGCTGATCTTACTTTGCAACAAATTCATAAAAACGAATCATCAGGTCTCGATCACTCTCATAGGTCATGTTTATTTTCCCCAAGCAAGCAAGACCAAATCTTGGATCTGCGGCAGAGAAATAAAGATCTCCCGTTGGTTATAGTATTATTATGATATAACTATATGAGGCATGAATAACGATTGGAGGTATGCTTTTTCCCCATTTATTAGATGACACCGCATATCACCAATGGTAAACTTTAGTATTAGTTTTTGAACCAATGAAAATAACAAAAAGAGAGCAGAAACTCAATCTAACTTCTTATCAAATTAAACTAAGAAACAAGCAAAATGACAAGATTATCATCCTGTAGAAAGTGGGCAATATAGTTCTTCTTCCAAGCTAAATATACCAT